AATGAGAATAAAAAATAAGCACTTTTTAGAAAAACACAACAAAATCGATGTATGTTGTCAGGCATTAATATTTTCCAGTTAATAATAAGAATCTGAATGTAGTTGTTTTTATTGGCAAATTTATAGATTGTGATTTCTTTTCAGTCCATTTCGACCGTTTTCTCTTGTTTTTTTAATCCTATTCTGTAATGACTAAAGCTCATCCTGCCATATCTCAGAGCCACGATGTGACAAGTGAGCTGCTTGGCACTACTTAGTATTGAGTGTGATGAAGCAGACAACATTGCTAACTTTGATCATGTTATTAATTTATTTGCTGATGCAAAAGCACACAAAATCCAGCAAGACTCTACTATAAGATAAATTTAGAGAATAAGAATAGTGTACTGCTACTGTATGCGATAAATACAACAGCCTTACAAATTAAGATAATGGTAAAGTTGTATACAAAGTTCCTAACATTGTAATGCAGTTTCAGTAGTAAGAAACAGGGGTGGCGCCAGGCCCACTTTGAGGATAGCTAGGGATATTTCAAAATATTATAATCATAATTGAGGGGAGGGGGAAGGGGCGCAATTTTTTACTCGTGCCAAAACCTCTAGCTACGCCACTGCTTAGCAGCAATATCCAAGGATATTGAAGATGTACAGTATCACACTACATAGGATAAGCCAATTAATCAACCAATTATTAAATCAATCATGGACAAAAAAGAACTTACATAGTGCCCGCAGCAACGCATATTATGCTTAAAATCAACATTAACATTTAGCGGTAGGTGTGATTTTGAGGTCCTCTTAATATTCTCGGGGTGGAGCAGAATCATAAATATGATGGTACACATATTCTAGACCTTTGCTCTGTTACTCTCATTAACTTCGCGTATAAAAGGAAATGTATTGGCGATTAAACTTGTTACAAATTGTTACCGGTATTACGATTTTGTCTTAAGTGTGATTTGGGTATTAGAGTATAGATGTTCATAACAATTTATGTTAGCAATTACATCCACACTGTTTAAACTACAATGGTAAATGTGCGACAAAAGATATTATCATCGTTATCATTTAATACAAAGTTGAGTTAATAAAATACAGTAACAAATAACAGGGCAGTATTGATCAAAGATAAAATTTAATTTAATTTTTCTATCCTGTTCTGTACAGTAGATATCTAACATTCTCCCAATGGGCCTAGTTTTGATTTTAATAACTAAGTCCAAAATGGGACTCATTGAGAACTGATTTTGAAATTATAAAGTAAAAAAAAATCAATGTTAAAAAATTAATGAAGTAATAATAACAACTTAAAATTATATAGTGCCTTAAAGTAATAAAACTTTTAGCTCCAATGGCTTACCGATGTTTATATGATAGCACAGTAATAACTAAAGTAGGCAAGATTTTCGGCATGAGTGATTACTTATTTACGATTACAAAACTATCATAAGCTGAGATAACCTTGGCTACGCTAGCATGTATCGCATTACAATGCAGCCATTCACAACCCTCTTGATCCCAACTTCAACTTCAGTTGAAATGGATTTGAAGTTGAGACTACCCAACTCGACCGCAGTCGAAATTTACTTAATTTAATTTGCTGTTCTGTGTATATTCTGGCTCCAAAACATTTTAAATTATTTTTATACATGCATCAAGCTTGTTTATTTTGGAATTTTTTTAAAACTGACATCATGCTTTGTAAACATTTTTTGAAATCTTGATTTGAAAACTTATATAGTTTTAAATTTTCATTGGGAATGGCTGCACAGGATGTTTACTATACAGGCGAGAGAGCGATCAGGTTATATTTAGATTTTTACAATTATGAAAACGAATTTTGCAATGCAATAGTTTGGCATGCCTATCAGTGATGACGACGGGCAGGCGATAAACAGTGAGGACGGCGGTGATGATGTTGATGATTATGGGCCTAGGCTTAGAAAGGCTACTGTATGGTATAGTCAATGGATTGGAATGGAAAGATTGTGCATATAATTATGCATGTTTGGGTAAATAATTTACATAACGATGTCTATTGTGAATATTTTATTATTTTGTTATTTTATTTGGCAAATTGTTCTTTTTTCACAATTTTTTGCCGACAATTTAGGCTAGGCTAGGCCTATATTTTTCTGTTATTACTTTTTAATAGTACATTACTTTCTTTTATACACAAACTTTTCACTTAAAAAAAAAAATCCCAAAAATATGAATTATACATCTAGTGAAAGCCTATTCTTTAAGGGACATTTGTTTTTTTAAACATTTACTTGTAAAAAACATACAGAAAGTTCTAAAAAATTAATCAGAAATTTGTACACTCAAAAACGCATAAAAACTTGTTACACTGCAAAAAGAATCTGGGAAACAAGGGTCTGCATTGCAAAAAGAATGGAGGATCAAAAGGGTTGTCCCTCTAATCAAAGCAGACCTGCATTAAATTTTTCAATCTGCACATATTTATTAAATAATACCATATTTTCAGTGTGCAGATTAGAGGTTATTTAACATTAACAAACTTCAATAGTTGAATATAGTAATTACAGTACATCATATTTAAATAATTATGGTTTTGAAAGAGTGAATAATCATAAGACGCATAATAAATCCTTGAATGTTAATATTTTGTAAACAAATGACCATCTGTTGGCTGTAATGAGAGGAATTTCTAATTCATTATTCAAATCATAAATTAAATGAAACAATAAATGTTTTATTGACTTGTATTTGCTGGTACAGTATTGTCTTATGTGTAGGCCTACCACATATACAGTGTAACTTGGTAAGCCTAAAATACAATAATTAAACAAAGTTTTTTCATGCTTAGCCAAATTTTTCAGATAGTACCTATTTTAACATACAGGTTATTGGTATCATTTTCATCATATTTCCCATGAATTAAATAAATACCCTGGTCCAATAAAAAATACCATACATTTTTTAACTTTAAATTATTACTTAAAATTAATTAAAATTATTATAATGTTAAAGTCTATAAAAAATTCAATTATATCTTATAATACTTTATATATATGTGATTATTATTTTATGACATTAAGATAAAAATTAGCTTCAAATGAAGGAGTACTGAGTGCATATAGGAAGTTTCTACTTATTACAGAAGCAGTATCCAATAAATAATAATAAATAATATGTAACTGTATTGGAATTAATTTGTTACTTGATAATTTCACTCTTGTTTTGATCTCTGTTTCTAAATAGTATGTGTTTACAGCCTTGTTGTTAATAATAATGTACAATATTAATTAAAATATAATTCCGTATTTAATATAATATGTATCTTATTTTTCGTTATAGCTATAAGTATTTTAATGTTTAACTTTTACTTTGATAATTCATATCTTGTGCTATGCTTGGTTAATGTTTTAAATTATTTACTGTCTTATTGTAAATAGCATGTAATTTAGCCTTGTCTTCGAAACTGAAACGAGTCTGTATTAAATTAGTACCACCAAGAAAACACAACAATCTATCATCAGATCAGGTATGATAAAATCACAAGTTGGAACCATCATAAAGCAGTATTAATTAATAAGTTAGTAGGCCTGCAATAATAATACCACAATAATTCAGTACCACAATATTAGTGAGTTTCCTGTACCATATGATATTATACAGTAGGTCAGTACCACAATAATTCAGTACCACAATATTAGTGAGTTACCGGTACCATATGATATTATGCAGTAGTTCAGTACCACAATAATTCAGTACCACTGTACCATACCACAAGTCGGCACCATATAAAAAGTCAGTACCACAAAAAGTTCTAAATCAGCACTGATAATATAATACAGTAGAACCTCGTTTTTACGTACCCCAGTTATACGAACCCTCTGTTTTACGTACGCCTCGTATGGACGATGACGTCATCAAAAACCCCGAAAATATTCAAAACAAACGGCCCTTTTGAGAGCAACCATAAGTAAAAAGAATATAACAATAAACTATAACAATAAACAAACCATAATGCAACGTATTTTCATTAAACAGCAACGTTGATTGAGTCTAATACCGGGTTGTTATAATCTAAAACCAC